AGTCATGAAGTTGTCATCCTAGGATTATGAGCAAATGGCAGCAAGCAAGCATGCACAAAGCTGCACCATAACATACCACGTATGCGAGTGCAAGGAGTGAGCACAAGGAGGGTTATAGTTGAGCATGGGGTCAATATTGAGTACGCAAATAAGTGAATGCAAACCAGCATGAGAGCAAGTGAGTGAGCACAAGCATCAAAATGGGCTTCCAATGGCTAGGGTAGTGAAATTGGGAGCATGGTTGAGGATTGAAAAAGGAAGGGACAAAGAGAGGGGGTTGGTCATTAGGGCAAGAAGAATACTTTCTCTAATAACATGTTCGAAAAGATTGTGTTTAATTCAATAGAGATCCCCTGAACAATAAATGGGGAATGAAATAACGTCTTTGGTACACCTAAACAATGTTCTCAAAGCACTAAACATAATGCCATACATAAGGATTCTTTTTTGTTTCAATATGAAAAGCGCAAAGTGAAGTGATAATTTTATATATCATATATAAATATCTAGCGCAAAGTGAAGTGATAATTATATGTATCATACATAAATATATTGTATGCATACAAATATCATTTAATTAACCTAATTTAAACATATCAAGTAATATTTTTTCACAAATATAAATATAAAAAGAAAGAAACGATGATAAAGTACTTTAAATACAAAAATACTCGTGAAATGAAGAAACTGGGAATACACCGAGAGGAGTTAGCATGAAGCCAGAAAGTAAAAATGAAGCAAAGAGAAGCATTCAGAGGATACACTGAGAAGCATATTAAGAAGAATCTACTAAGGGGCTGTTTGGTTGCCTGAATTAGGAGTATAAAGTAAAACAAATACCTGTATTTATTAAATTTGGTTGTTTGGGTAATTTTGAGTGAAACAAAAGGAAATCATTGGATGCATTAGGAGTGTATTACATGAGGTGTTTTGCGTGAATTAGAAACCCGCTCGTATTGAGCGGGTTATAAATTCATCGGAAAAAAAAAAGCTTCATCGTCGTGCTGTTCGGCTTCATTGCACGATACTTCGGCTCCTTCGTTCTAACAGATGGACTAGAAATTTTGTTCTCGTGCACCCACACATTCCTAGCCTTCCATGACAAATACACTGTATTACAGTAAAGGTACACCAACCATTTGCTCTTGCCATTCAACCATTTACAGCATTCGTTCAGGGAATTCATAAGAGGAATAAAAAAGCCACAACTGTTAATGGTTGAATTATCTTTATATGAAGCTACTTTTCTCTCAGGACATACGGCTGGTTTAAGCTAGGAGTCTAGACAAATAATATTGTTCGATTGTGTTATATACTTCTATTATCTCTCTGTATTTTGCAATTGGAGCACAATGGCATTCTACCCTGCTATCTAATATGAATTATGCATGCATGTGTTAGATAAGAAATAGTTAATTTGATGAGGATGCCAAGAATTCAACAACCAAACCGGTTGATTAGCATTCTCTATTCCTGAATTAATACAAGCCGAATTCTTTAAAGCTGCAGCTAAAACAACAGCATCTGAAGCAATAACAGATGGACTAGAAATTTTGTTCTCGTGCACCCACACATTCCTAGCCTTCCATGACAAATACACTGTATTACAGTAAAGGTACACCAACCATTTGCTCTTGCCATTCAACCATTTACAGCATTCGTTCAGGGAATTCATAAGAGGAATAAAAAAGCCACAACTGTTAATGGTTGAATTATCTTTATATGAAGCTACTTTTCTCTCAGGACATACGGCTGGTTTAAGCTAGGAGTCTAGACAAATAATATTGTTCGATTGTGTTATATACTTCTATTATCTCTCTGTATTTTGCAATTGGAGCACAATGGCATTCTACCCTGCTATCTAATATGAATTATGCATGCATGTGTTAGATAAGAAATAGTTAATTTGATGAGGATGCCAAGAATTCAACAACCAAACCGGTTGATTAGCATTCTCTATTCCTGAATTAATACAAGCCGAATTCTTTAAAGCTGCAGCTAAAACAACAGCATCTGAAGCAATAACAGATGGACTAGAAATTTTGTTCTCGTGCACCCACACATTCCTAGCCTTCCATGACAAATACACTGTATTACAGTAAAGGTACACCAACCATTTGCTCTTGCCATTCAACCATTTACAGCATTCGTTCAGGGAATTCATAAGAGGAATAAAAAAGCCACAACTGTTAATGGTTGAATTATCTTTATATGAAGCTACTTTTCTCTCAGGACATACGGCTGGTTTAAGCTAGGAGTCTAGACAAATAATATTGTTCGATTGTGTTATATACTTCTATTATCTCTCTGTATTTTGCAATTGGAGCACAATGGCATTCTACCCTGCTATCTAATATGAATTATGCATGCATGTGTTAGATAAGAAATAGTTAATTTGATGAGGATGCCAAGAATTCAACAACCAAACCGGTTGATTAGCATTCTCTATTCCTGAATTAATACAAGCCGAATTCTTTAAAGCTGCAGCTAAAACAACAGCATCTGAAGCAATAACAGATGGACTAGAAATTTTGTTCTCGTGCACCCACACATTCCTAGCCTTCCATGACAAATACACTGTATTACAGTAAAGGTACACCAACCATTTGCTCTTGCCATTCAACCATTTACAGCATTCGTTCAGGGAATTCATAAGAGGAATAAAAAAGCCACAACTGTTAATGGTTGAATTATCTTTATATGAAGCTACTTTTCTCTCAGGACATACGGCTGGTTTAAGCTAGGAATCTAGACAAATAATATTGTTCGATTGTGTTATATACTTCTATTATCTCTCTGTATTTTGCAATTGGAGCACAATGGCATTCTACCCTGCTATCTAATATGAATTATGCATGCATGTGTCAGATAAGAAATAGTTAATTTGATGATTCATTCCTATTTTAACTTATGAGTATTCAAGATGCCTATTTTGATTTCTGTGATTTATGTTATGAAATTTCATATAATTTCTCAACCATTATTTTAACTTATGAGTATTCAAGATGCCTATTTTGATTTCTGTGATTTATGTTATGAAATTTCATATAATTTCTCAACCATTATTTTAACTTATGAGTATTCAAGATGCCTATTTTTTATTGACAGGTTCCATGTCTTCTTTTGTTTTCTGGAGCTAGTGCTGCTTTTGGAGGTAAACTACATTTTTTAAACAGAAGAAAGATAGGAGGTTATGAAATTTAAACAAGTTTTTATATGAACTAGTTTTAATGCACAGGCTGCAAGTGCACATGTTTGTTTAAGAATGCTTCAGTTTTTTTTTTGTTGTTTTGGCTAAAAGTATTTTGGTCAGAATATTCAAATCAAAATTTAATCACGATGGATTTCAAAGTCATTGAATTTATTTTGAGTCGAGTAAAATACAAAATTTGAATGTTTAGTCATATATCACATTCATATCAAAACAGATTTAATTTTTTGAAATTTATTCTGATCACAAGTTGGATCATAATATCCTTGCCCAAAACTTTTTTCCTTGTGAAATAATGGAAATATTAGTTGAAATAAATTTAATATATAAAAAAAATTTATAACACCAAATAATACAAATTATAAATACACTGTTTTTATAAATATATTTATTTTAATGCTAAAAGAAATTATTACAAAAAATGCTTTTACTTTACTTTGGATATACCTAACCAAACAAGGGAAACAATTCTCCTGCATTTATTTTGCATAAAACCAAACAGGCTCAAAGTATTTAGAATGCATTGCATTTACTTTACATTGCATTTACTTTACACTGCATTTCTTTTTCAAGCAACCAAACAGCCCCTAAGCAAGAAACCATAAGCACTAGCAACAAGAACCACAAAAAAGCATATAAGAAAACTATCAAACGAGGAAAGTGTAAAGAAGAATCGATGGGAAGCAACTAGTTCCAACAAAAGAGAATGAAGATTTAAAATTCAATGGTTTACTTATTACAAGTACCAATAAGGAGGAAGTGTTTTTTCCAATGTTATTGCAATAAATGTTGAACAAAACAACGAAATATGAATCAAGATTTTATTGAGTCAAAGTTGAGCACACAATACAGCAGCACGATATGGCAAAGGAACACACACTTTGCCATGAAGGGTGTACAACGTCAACACATCATTTCACAAGGCTCCTATAATGTTTTTTTAATAATGCTGCATCCAAATTAACAGACACCACTCCATATGGAGAACCTTCCAAATATAATTTTGTGTAACCATACACTAACAGCTATAAAGCAAGCTTTCATTTGTTGAGCATTCTATTCTTCAAGAATTCTAATGCTTATTATCTCAGCCTCACCTTCACGACAAAACTATGCAAACAGAAAGATAAAGCATATAAATAGGTTAAATTTAGTTCAAATAACGGATTAGGTTTAAGTCATACCTGCTACATGTTATAGAATTTCAAAGTAACTTGCACCAATTCTAGAGTATTTATGTAATCATCAAAAGTGCATAGTATGCATTTGATAATTCCATAATAATGCAATGGGAAAGGTACAGTCACCATGGTTTTTACTAGCTGTGCTAATAATAAATGCAAGGGTTTATGTAATAATATATGATACATACAAGTCATCTAGCAAATCTAATCATTACCATAAATCTTTTCTACATCAAGTAAAACATTTGAATTCAGGATCTATTCAAATATTCAAGCTCCATAAAACCAAATTATTAACATAAGAACTTCACCAAAATAGACAAAGTTGAACAACCAGAGATTCCTGTCAAACTGCTGCACATTGATTACAAGATGGGTTCATACCCACACTATTCCCCCATAAAGTGAACTTGCGAGCAACAAGTTTCAACATTATCCGCTACCAAGGTGTCCATTAACAGCTTCAACCCATGTAATAACTTAAAAATGCACCACGTACAACACACTATAGCTTCACATGACCACATTCCAGCATTTATGGAAACGTATTCACATATGATTGGAATAGATACTAAGGAAATATTCTTTGGAAAACAGTTGCGATAGGGCAGAGAAAGATGATTTATATTTGATACCATGAGGGTTTTTTTTTCGAATGTAAGGTGCGATGTTCCAAATCATCCATACTGAAGTTCAGTCATTAAAGTCAATAATAGCATCATACAAGCAACATATCCACCAAAAATGTAACACAATAATGGCATACAAACAAACAAAAAATTTATGAAAAATACAATGCAAATATTTTTTCTTAGGACAGAGAAACATAAAATCATCAGTAAGTGTTGCCTTTGACTTGCAACCAAGAAACAAATTAGGAGAGATCAGAAAGTACCTGCTATGAGATTCAGAAGTATCAACATCATCCACAGCGAAAGGGCAAGAAAAATCAAAATCGTCAAGATCATCTTGCAATGACTTTCTACTTGAACTCCTTGAGAAGGCAAATCTTGGCGAACCACAAGAAGAAAGAACACTTGAGAATCGCCCGGAATCATCTTTAGGATCTTTAAGGACCTAAAATTAATGAGAAATGTTAAGGCACCATGTACTCATTTCACAATGGAATATCATCACAAAAAAGAGAGGATGAAACTAACAATTACTTTAGTAATACATCAAGGAAACTAAATGGAAAATAGTGGGTACAAAAAAAGAAATATAGAATGAAAAATAATTGAATTAGAAGGGGAGAAGATTATGAAAATTCAAGGGTTTTAATCAAAAATTATTTTTCACTCAGAAGTACAGCAAATACTACTTAGACCAAACAACAAATGTACAAGTCTTGAACCATAATTATGAATTAGCATGATGTACTGAAGAATTTACACATCAAAGAATAGACCACCGAATAGCACTCTAGTTGCAAGATGTTTGAGTCACCATTATCATTACCTTTATCCCACCTATTCGAGGTCAACTTTATGAATACTCAATTTTCACTTGTTCATGTTGAGTCTAAGGTGTTAAAATAATTCATTGCAAATCAGTTTAAAAAACTATCTATGTTATCTTAGCTCTATTGATTCTTCTTCCTACTCCTCTGATATCAAGTTCTTGTACTTGTTTAATAAGCATATTTTCTACCCTTCATTGTACAAGTCCAAACCACCTAAGCATAATAATTGAATATATCTAAGCATTGAGCAGCAAAGAGGTTTTGTTGATATCTAAGTTGATTGTGGCATAAATAAGAAGTTATATCATCATCTAACATTGTCTTTTGTCACGCACAACTTCGATATTAACATTTTTTTTTATTGACCAAAGCTTGAATCAATTCAATATCATTAACCTATTTGTGGTTTTATAAAATTTAGCTTTAAGAATCTATTTGGAGAAATCATAGCTATTTGTAAAAATAGTTGTATAACTATTATAGGAAAAGCAGTTCGTTTGAAAACTAATAAGTAATACAAATGTTTTTTTTCCTTCAAAAGAGGTCTAACTGCAACATCCTTAAAGCTATCACATCCGACGAATCTCGTTGCAAAAAGTTGCTTCACATGACAAAATTATATGAAAAGTATAAGAAAAGATGTAGATAAACAAAAATGTAGTAGCAATATGAAAAGCAAGCAATGCAAAATCTACCCCAAATGGACCCAACATCTCCATGGCATCCTCTTATAATACTATTGAGAAACTTCCCTACTTTAGTCATTTGGCATTAATTCTAGAAGCTATATCATCTATAACTATATTCCTCTATATAATAAATCCAAGGTATTTAAATTTATCAAATCTAGATATTACTTGTTATTCATTAAACTTCTTGAGTTAATATCATATATTTTATATTTAAAATCATTAAGTTGTTAAGGAGCTAAAAAGTTTCACTTATTTACAAAACTTCATTGAACGACTAGTTTGAGCTATTTAGAATTAATTAATTTTCTTATTTTTAGGGTTAAAATTTAGGATACTTTCATCTCTATTCATCTTCTATATATGTCAGATGTTCTAAAATCTTAAATATAGATAGTTTTACTCAAAACCAAAGAAAAAATAAAAGAGAAAATTTTGTGATTACAAGTTTGTCCTCTTAAAAAAGATTCAAAGTATTTATCCTAAAAGTTTTTCATCAACTCTCCTTTGTAGGTATCTCTCTATACCAATCTTTAGAAGAAAGTTTGCAAGTTAGTTTACAATGTATGTTTTAAATTTTTTTAAATAAATGTTGCATATTCTAATTTGTTAGTAATTACTTTTGTTAGGTACCAAAGTGTTAGAATGCTGTGGAAGGTATTTCTCTTGTGTTGGAGAACTTGGGTAAAGGAGAGTGTGGTTTATTGAGTAACATTCACCTACTAAGGTAAGTGTAATATTGAAGGTTTCTAACAAAAGTATTGTGTTCATCTATTGGTAGTGGAATTCTAATCCGCAAAAGATTATGAGTGGATGTACGCCAATTATGTGTTCAAATCTTCCAAAAGTCATGTGTTCATCTTGGTCGATCGTTAGTTGAAACTATGGTGCAATTAATTATTTATATTGCATGTTATAATGCCATTGTTGGGATTACTATTTAATGCTCCTGTCTAGAGTTTTTTTTTTTTTTTAAATTACTTTCATATAGCATTGATTTATCTATCATCACCATGTTTTAGTTGTGTAGATGCTCATGCCTTTGATGCTTAGTAATTTAGTTATCATAGCATTTGTAGTTGAGTTAGTCATTAATATACTACATAATCGCTATATACTCAATCACTTGCATTATCTTATTATCATATATCATTGATCACTTGTGTGATGTTAAACTTGTAAATTGATGGATTAAAAGTTTGTTATATTAATCTTACTACATCAATCATCAACATTATTATTTTAGTTTTTTTACTCTGGTGCTAGCATTATTTATCTTATTGACATACTTGATACTGAGGGATTAGGAAGAATTTCGGAATGTTCAAATTGTTCATCCACCCATTTCACCTCTCCCACTCTAGGTGTACCTAGAGTCTACATAATATACCTTATTATGTTCTTTCATAACAATATTTTCTTCAAAACTTCTCTTACAATTTATCAAACAAGTGTTCTCATAATTTCTTATCATCTTCATCTTTAACTAGGATGCTATTATAATTGTTTTGAATGCATTTAAATTGATTAAAACCTTTAGATCTCTCATATCTTATCTTAATTATTCTTTATAATTTATTCTCCTTGTATTAAAGCTATCGAATAAATTGTCAAAACTTGTAGTTTATACTTTGCTTGCCCAACTCAACATAAAATTTGTAACTTTCTTATAACATTATAACTCTCCGTAGTATTAAATTTTCCTCACCACAATCTTCATAAGAATTGTATCTTTCTTATAACATTATAACTCTTAGTAGTATTCAATTTTTATCACTTTAAGACACATTTCTTTTTCATTAATAACATACTCTCACTCCATTACTAATCACATTATCAATATAAAATCTATTTTAAAAATATCTGAAAATTTCTATAATAACCTTTTTAGAAGAACTAGCCATTTTATTCGATACCAGGTTTAGCTCAACTATAGAATTACAATGTTTATCATAATTTTTCAATTTTATTTTTTACTAAAATTGAGAAATCTCTAATTGTTCACAATGATTCAACCTAAAAAGTTTAGGATCCCATAACACTTCAAGCTGGTTTTAAAGTAAATTAAACATGCAAATAGCTCACATACAAAGAATTTAGTCAAGAATTGTTGTATAACATCTACATTTAGGGGTGTCAATTACTGACCCGGGCTTAAACGGGTTGACCCGAACCCGACCTGTTTTTTGCAAACGGGTCAAGTTTGTCCACTCAAACCCTACCCGTCAGGTTATCAGGTTGACCCGACCGACCCGCAAACGCAAGCGTCGTGGGCTGAGTCTGAACGTGAGTCTGCGTCGGACGCGAGTTCGCTACTGTGTGCGCGAGTGCGGGGAAGATGCCAAGGCAGGCAACGACGCAGCGTCGAGCCGCGTGCAGGGAAGGCGCCAGGGCGGGCAGCTCGACCGTGCGGGACGACGCCAACGGCAGCTCACGAGATGCGAGTCCGCTACTCTGTGCGCGAGTGCGACCAATTGACGCGGGACAGGCGGGACCGGGACGGCGGCAGGCCGAAGCGACTGAGAGAAACAAGGTGTTATGTGATTGATGCAAGACGCTACTCGATCCGGGTCAATTCGAGTTGACCTGCGGGTTTTCGAGTCCACCCGAACCAGCCCATTTTTCAAACGGGTCTGAAATCCGAACCCGACCCGTTTCACAAACGGCTTGACCCAAACCCGGATTTTTCTAGTTGGGTCCAAGTCGGTTTAGGGTCGTGTCAAAAATTGACATCCCTATCTATATTGTTTTGTATAACATCTATATTGTTGGTCTAGTTATGAAAATCATCTTACTCAAGTAATTATATGAAATAGCATCTATGAGATTTAAGTGTAGAACATATGGAGCTAAGAAAACTAAAATGATGATTTCTCTAGAGCATCAAAGGCAATATAAATATGTTCTTCTTACCCTGATTGCAGACCTAGAGATTATTCACATAAGAGGGCATTCAGAGCAATAATTAGATTGTCACCATTATCATAAAAATCATGAATTTGAATTACATATAAACGGCTTCTCTATAAATTCCTCTCTTGTTCGTCTTCTGCAGTTCCTAGAGTATTTTGTATCGACTAACAAAACTTTCTATTACTGTTTGCTAAACTTTTTAATACTGTTTTGAGGACAAAAGATGTCAGATGAGTGGAGAATGAGGGTGTTAATTCCTATTTTTAGGAATAAAGATGACGCACAAGATTCTGCGCATTATACAAGAATTAAGTTAATGTGTCATACTTTAAAACTATGGGAGAGAGTTATGGAGCGTAGATTGCGACGTGATACTAATGTTTCTTAAAATCAATTTGGATTCGAGCCAAGGTCAACTATGGAAGCCATACATTTATTAAGAGGTTTGATGGAGAAATATAGAGAGAATAAGTAGGATCTACATATGATATTTATTGATTTAGAGAAACCAAATGATAAAGTTCCAAGAGAAGTGTTATGGAGAATTCTTGAAAAGAAAGGAGTTAATAATGCTTATATTCAAATCATTAAAGATATGTATGTAGGAGCTATTACTTGTGTTCAAACACAAGGTGGTTTGACCAAGTATTTTCCTATTTCGGTTGGATTACATCAAGAATAAGGCTTAAGCCCATATCTTTTTGCTTTAGTCATAGATGTTATCACTAGAAATTTGCAAGAGGATTTACCTAGGTGTATTGTTTTTTATGATGATATTCTTCTTGTTGATAAGACTAGAGAGGTAGTCGAAGGTAAACTTAAATTATAGAGGTCAACCTTAGAGTCTAAAGGTTTTTGCTTGAGTAGATTTAAAACTGAATGTATGGAGTGTAATTTTAGTGGTAATAGACCCAGTGAGGGGATTGTGACTTTGGGCAATTAATTCATAATAAGAGTACATGTGGTTAGAAAATATTAGAAATAATCTTTCTTTGTTAGATTTAAATGAGAATTTAACTTTTGACAGGACACAGTGGAGAAAAGGACTCATGTAGCCAACCCCATGTATTGGGACAAAGGCTTGATGTTGTTGTTGTTGTAACAAAAGTTTCACTTTGTACAAGATAAAATCTACCAGAAATGCATGCCCTAAATTTAAAGGATTAAAAATCAATGAAGATGGATAATCTAAAACGACCACATCATCCTCAAAACCATTTACAAATCAGCACAAAGAAACAAGATACACTAAACTGCTAATCAAGTGTCACACACATATGGCATGAAAACCCTTAAAAAATCAAAATTCGTAGAATTCATACCTTCGGAGCCGTATATAGAAGCGAATGAAGATCCCCAGCCTTCAGTGCGTCCAACTTCTTGAAAGACCTCGCAGAAGGAGACTCCTCCAAATACACATCAGCCCGTGCACTTCTAGGCGATGGTGATGGCGGCGGCAGCAAATTTCTAGTCGGATCCGAATAGTTAGGAGTGCGATACAAGTGGTTCTTCCCCGCCATCGACTGCGGTATGCTAACTGGAGCAGTCTCCGATCGCAATCTGACGGGAAAGGCATTAGCTGCATGGGTAGGCGGAGATGGAGTAGGAGATGCCGAGAACGGAGGCGAGAGTAGGTGCTCCTCGAAGCTAAAGCTACCCTTCTTGTGACCAAATTGCCGAGGAGCTGCCATTCGCTGCCCAAAATAATCAGGTGGAGACACTCGTTGCTCCGCGACTGCACCTACAGAAGCATGTAGCGGATGATGTGCCATTGGCGTGGTGGTCCAGCTATGCGGCCGCTGGAAAGCCGGCGCCGCTGACGGGCGCACACCGCGCAGGGGGAAAGAAATCGGCCGAATGCCCTTCTCCGACGGAGAAGCAGGAAAAGCCCTCATCGGATCAGCAGCTGGGCTTCCAACATAGTCCGCTATTATCATAGGCGGCAACAAGGACGAAACCTCTAAATTAAAATTCTCGAGAGTCGGTCGATAGAGAACCGAGACGGAGAGAGAGCCCAATTGGCTCTCAACTGGCGGGAATGCCTGCTGCTTGAATCCCTTCTCTTCCTCTCGCGAAAACGGCTCCGCGATCGACGAAACCTTATAGCTCAGAGTGTAGTTTGAAGACTGGTTAGACGAGGACAACAATCTGAAAGCTCTATAAGCGGGGAGAAACCGGAGAAGGGAGTAAATAGACCGTAGCAGAAGGATAGACTTCTTGTATGTCCTTCTGTAGAAGGACGCCGACGAAGACGGCAACGTCGACGCGCCGTCACCCCAAGGCGGAGGACTCTCGCACTGCGCGATCCATCGCTCAATGACAGCCACCGATTCAACGCCATCGCGCGGCGAGAGAATGACGTCGACGATCATCGGTTCCATCACGCCCTGGTGCCAAAACCCAAGATTCTCTAGGGCGGGCGGGAGATCGTCGATCGCAAGGTTGAACCACCGATCACGCCGCCGCACGCGACCGCCACCGGATAGATTGGGGATTCTGGAGGTGAGGACGGCTTGTAGGGTCTTAAGAAAGAACTGCGAGATAATCTGCTCGGTTCGACTAACTTCTGATTGATGCTGCGCCATCATCGGCGGCATCCTTCGGCTGTCAAAAAGCAGAGATCTGTTCTGCGGCGAAGCCGGAGAACGGACGGCCCTCTTCTTCTGAGGACGGAAGCGTCGGTTGAGAGAAGTCTGCGGAGGAAGACAATAGATCGGGATTGGAGAAGAAGAAGAAGACGAAGGGAGCCATCGAAGGCATATAGAAGAGGGTTAAATGATGGAAGGAATCACAGAAGGGATAATAGAATAATAATGGCAAGAGACTCCATGGCAGGAGGAGATGAGGGGGGAAATTTTTGGATGGTTTGAAATTGAACCGATGAATCTTGAAAGCGGACGGAAGCTAATTTATTGCGATGCGTGAGAGGATGGTCATCGTGAAATGGGGGGTTTGGGCAGCGGAGAAGACGGTCCGACAGTGAAGTGCAAAAGCTATGGTGGTAATTAATACCACGATTAAGATGTAAATTACTATTATCAGATATTATAATTGATTTATGTCCGAAAAACTCTGCTGCCCAATGCCGAGCCCAAAATAAATTCTAAATAAAGTTGGATGGGCGAGACGTGGCGTTTACCATGTCTATAAAGATTAAGAATTTTTTATTTCTGTTAGAAGTTTTTTTTTTTTTACAGAATTCGAACGGGTGAGAGAACAATTATTAGGTCAAATGAGCTGACGTAGTTTTACGTTCGGACGCTAATAACATATCGCCACGTGCTCTTATTATTTACTGCACGGCCCGACGACCCAAATCGGACTGGAACCCGGGATTGCTATGTTCGCGTATTACTAGGTATTGCTCGGTATTGCTTGGCAATAACGAGAAATACCTCTCTGTCAAGAGCAATACCTAGAAAAACTCGGTATTGCTCAGTATTGCTCAGTATTGCCAGGTATTGGTCTTCACAGAATGGTATTTCTCATTATTGCATAGCAAAATCGACCAATACCTAGCAATACCGAGCAATACGTGAACATAGCAATCATGGGTCCGTTCCGGGTCGGGATGTCGGGCCGCGCGGTAAAGAGTAAGAACACGTGGCACTATTTTACTAGCGTCCGAACGTAGAGCTATGTCAGGTCAACTACCAAATAAAAGTTTCGGGTGAGATGGGAGAAATTTCTTTCGTCGACCACGCGGCTGCATACCCATCTCTCTATTATAAGTCTTGCCTGATAGGTATATATAATATAAATACCCAACACGCATCTCATAAGTGAAAGAAATTATTTCGTGCAGAGTCCGGACACAGTCCAGATAAAGTTCTGCGTCCGGACTCTAATTAAATTCTAATATGTAGAGAAGTGGGCATTTTACTGTATTTTCACTATTTTGTTTATTATTTATGTCTTGTCGGCAGGTTCAAACTCACCTAGAGATGAAAATTTAGAATTTGTAAGAGTGCAAAAGACTTGGAGCCAAATCATTTTACTTTTCAACCCGACATTTTACACTCCTCATACTCTCTCGTTTGATATTCTAGACACTGTTCTTGCAAACAGGTGAAATCCTTCGGCATTCTAGGCAGTGCAAAAGTTCTTGCAAAACAGGTAAAAGAACATGATGGGCCTTTGAGGCGCTTTTGTTGTATATTCACTGTTCTTCTATTTTAAAAATTAGGTTGCATACCTTTAAAATTTTTAAGTTGTTTTTGTTAGGTTTAGCCTCATTTTTACTGTGCTTTAAGTGTGCATTTCGTTGTACTTTTGCTTTCATGGTATCAGTTCTTTTATCAATTTCTTCTACATTAAAAATTAGGTTGCATAGTTTTAAAATATCTTAGTACATTTTTAATGGCATTTTTCAGTGCCCTTTCCTTTTGCATTTACTACTGTGCTTTTGCTATGTTTTTAATGTGCTTTCACTATTTTTTTCTACAGCGCTTTCACTGTGCACACTACACTTTTGATGTTCTTTAGATACACTTTCACTACCCTTTTGCAGCGCTTTATCTACTACTATCTCATTGTGCTTTTTTTACTATTTCACTGCACTTTAATTGTGCTTTTGCTGGGCTTTTTTATTGCGCTTTCAGTACGTTTTTGTTACGCTTTTGATATATCATGCAAAAATTATTTTGATCGAGCACGAATCTCGAGGCAAATTTGAACCGGAAACTTCAATAATTAAATCCGGGAGCACCTGAACTCCGATTTCAGTGAGCTTATAGTCAAATTGAGCGTCTCAGAAATACAAACCCAACGACACCAAATTCAACTCAATCCAAGCCCAAATGAGCCCAAATCAAGCACCCGAAGTGCTATTGGAAAGTTCTTACCATAATTTCAGTTACCAAACAATCTCTGATTTTAACGAGCTTATAGTCGAATCGAACGGCTCGACGAGACAAATCCAACAAGCCCAAGATCGCCGAATTTCAACATCATTAAGACTTTCAAATGTCTGACGAATGGTACACAATCAAGGGATTCAATATCAGCCATCCATTCGACCACTCCCTATTTGCCCTTGATATAACTCCTATTTACGAGCTATGCCACTCCATAAAATTTATAAATAGACCCCTCATTTCTCATGAGAGGGGACCCAGGCAAGAAGGAGAGAAGAAGAAGAGAAGAAGAGAAGAGAAGCATAGGAGGGAATAGCTCCTCCTCGACCACCGCCGGAATTCTTCCCGCCGCCTGAATAACGCCGGAGTTCGGCCAGACACTTGAGTGATGCTGGAATTCTTCCCAAGCAACATAAAAGTCCTGCTTGACACCGGACTTCAGTACGACTTCCGGACGACACTTGAATTCTGCCCAATTTCCTCAATGACGTCAGAACTCTGCTCGACCTTGTAACTGAATTTCAATTCAGAAGAAACTCACTGTAATCTGATCGTCCCAACTTGGTGGGCGAATCAGTCTCTTGTATCTCAAACAAAACATTAGTGGAATTATTTCAACAGGGCATGGCCCTGTGGTTTTTCCCCTTTTAGGGTTTTCCACGTAAAAATGCTGGTGTTTCTTTTTCTGTTCTGTTTGTGTGCTGGATATCCGTACTACGTTGAGATGTGAACTTTATGACTCTATCACCGCGTATATTCTAGCCCGCAACAGTTTGACACCGTCTATGGGAAACATTATCCCACAACTTTAATTATTTCTATGATGATCAACAGGCGCAGCAGTCATATTATTGGGGTTTCTCGCTCTAACTCCCGTTAGTCCATAAATTAGTCTATAAATCATAGACGTCCGATATCTTCCTCCTTCTACCCCGAGGGTTAAAATTTCATTGGAGAAGGAACCTCAGGACCTTCTTTAGAAGAGAGAATCTGAAAGATGGAAGAATCTCAGAATGATATCCTTCAACTCCTGCGAGAGGCTCGGCAACCTGCACTGGCACAATGAGAGGAAGTCCTTCTCCCTCGAGATCCACCACGAGTTGAAGATGTTCAATTCGAGCATATTCAAACAGAGATTCCTCTTCCTCCACCAAAAAGGCAGATACATCAGAATAACGAATTGCTGACACAGCAAGTTCTACTCATCCCTCACACACCAGTCGGCAATCTCGTGTTCTTCCAGATCTCCCAGAAAACTCGGCCCAGCCATAAGTTACTGGGCTCCCTCATAATGCCTTACGTCATGAACTGCAGAGATTAATACGGGAAGAATTCCGCCAAGGAGACGTGAGGCAAACTCTCCGGCATAGGGACTTCTAGGAGTCATCACCTCTAACTGAGGCCATACTTCAGCATCTCATTCTAGTTGGGTTCAAAGTACCCAGCATCGAGTCTTATGACGGGACATCTAACCCGTATGAGCATATCGATCACTATAAAACCATCATGCATATTCAGCAAACCTTACACGCCCTCCTCTGCCAGGTCTTTCCTACCACCCTTAATGGACAGGCTCAAACGTGGTTCTATTCGCTTCCATCCGGAATGATCCCCTCATTTGTCAAATTGGCCAAACTTTCATCGAGCAATTCATTGCCAATTGAAGGATAGCTAAAGATTATTTCCACCTCTACAGGATTCGTAAGAATGAAGGAGAATTGTTGAAAGAGTATTTTCATTGATTTTCCACTGAAGCTTGACAAATTCCATAAGTATATCTTGAACTATTGAGAGGGATCTTTCTTGGAGGCCTTTTCCCTGGCCCCTTCTATTAAGCACTCATGTGCGACACCGTTCATTCATATGCAGATTTGATTCATCGTGTAGAAGCTCAAATCTCGACAGATGAAGTCATAAATGCCCATAGAAAAAATAATTTGAGCAAACTAATGGGAAACGCAAGGGTGCACATGGGATGAATAATTCATCCTCATAATGAAAGAAGCAAGGGAAGAACAATCTACCTCTAGGCCTCCATTGCCATGATAAGAACCTCGATAGGAGAAGGAGTACACTCCTCTAAATTCATATCAAACAAATGTATTAATGGATGTTCGAGTTCAAGATACAGTGAAATGGCCATATCTTTTGAAGCCAAACATAGGAAATCAGGATTAGTACTGCCACTTTCATCATAGTCGTGGCCACACTATTGAAGCCTGTAAGTAACTAAAAGAGGAGATTGAAAGACTTATCCGTCAATGCTATCTTCGATAGTTTATTCGAGATTCACCTACCCAAGAGGAAACTCATCCCGCTGGGGGAAAAATCAACAACAGAGGCCACTGGTGAATAATCAAATAGCAGTTAGTGAAATTGAGACAATCATTGGAGGCCCCTCGTTATCTGATCAAGTCTTTTTTGGTTGTAAATAAAAATCCAACTCCAAAGAAGGCTCATATATATCACTCTATCACCTTTGACGATTCTGATCTGGAGGGAGTAAAAACCCCTCATCAAGATCCGCTTGTTATCAACGCAGGCTTAGGTGACCCATGTTACAATGTCAAAAAATTTCTTGTAAATAATGGAAGCTCCATAAATGTCTTATTCTATTCCACTTTTTCTCAACATGGGTCTCTCAAGAGAAAAGCTTCAACCTGCTGCAGATCCTTTGTATGGATTTGATAATCGACCTGTACGAGCAGAAGGGATAATCAATCTTCCAATTGTACTTGGAGAATTTCCTAGACAGTCTACACACTCTGTTCAGTTCATCATTGTAAAGTCATAATCGGCTTACAACGCTATCTTTATGAAGCCGCTTCAGTCAATTTTAGGGATTGTCGTCTCTATCCCTCATCTCAAGCTTAAGTTCCATACCCCGATAGGAGTTAGTATGGTATGCGGAGATCAACAAATAGCACAAACCTGCTATCTAAGGCAGGTCAAGTCACGTCCAACGGTTACCCTAAGCATCAAAGACTTTGATATCCGAAACGAGGATATCCCTCAAAGAGGTTCCCCTGTAGAAGACCTTACTACTATACCTATATCCAAAGAACATCCTTCGAGGATAGTGTAGATTGGATCACTTCTCTCAGATGACGAGAAGAAAAA